TTTTCAGTTCATGTCCAGGACACCTCTTTTAAGAAGGGAAGAGTCAAAGTGGGAAGCAAATTGGCATCTCCTGAAGTGCCCCACTAGGTGCCCAACACTGGTGGTTTAAAAATGAGGAAGGGTGAGGGTCAGAGCAGTTAAATATCATTCCCAGGCCCCACAGTTAGTAAAAGGCTGAGGAGATCTTCTCACCAAGGGTTGTCTGAATCTAGTGACCATAGTCTCGCCACTCTCCCACTTGGACTTCTCTTTTAGATGGTAGCCTGGCAAGGATGAGGAATGATTGAACTTATGCTTTTTTGGGTAGGGGAATCCGTGCTGAGTGGTACAGGTTACCAGGGGATTTATCTTCCTCCAGTTGAAGATTTCTGATAGATACACAGGATTAGAGCTCATGTAAGAAGTCTGGAATGAAATGTGAATTGGAGCCTGCGTACCTTGATCCCATTAGGTGCCTAACACATGCATGGTGGCCATGTTCTACTTTACTCTTTCTGAGTCTCATTACTCTCTCTGCAAACTGAAGTTGCTGGACTAGGTAACTGCTAAGGTCCCTTTCTGCTCTGTTTTCATAAGGGCTAAAGATGGCCACTTAATAGTTTTTGGATGCTGCAAAGTGAGTCAGAGTTCCTCATCAACTGCCCCATCCCTCCTTGTAGGCTGCACTTCAGCCATATCAGACTGTCTCCTGGCTGTGTACCCCAAGCACATTGGGTACATTTCCTCTTCCATGCCCTGTGCATAGCCAGGAATGTCCATATATGTATTCCACTTCCTCTCACAATCCTACTCTTCCTGTACGATTTAGCTCAAAGCCCATCTCCTCTGATGATTTTGACTGGCATTGCCTGGCACACAATATTTTCTCAAGAAGGGCATGACAAAAGAATGAGGCCATTAACCAGTGAAGGTTTAATATTCTTAATGCATAAAAAACAATAAATATCAGAAAAGGTGGTTAATTATATCAGTAATTAGGGAAATGGAGGTGAAAACAACAGAAAGCAATATTTCAGAGTCATCAGTTGAGGAAGACTTATTTTAAAATTCTCTAAATACCAAAGTTCTGGTTTGTTTTTGTTTTATTTTTTTGTTAGGAGTATGATGTATAAATTGAGAATTTTCACCCACTGCTGGTGGCAGTTTAAAAAGGTGCAAACATTTGGGGGAACAATTTTATAATTTCAAGTAGAGCTTATTCATGTCCTAAGACTCAGACATTTCATGCTTAGGCACATAACAGCTGGAAACTCATACATACATACATACATATATTCATAAAACACTATACCATTTAAGGAATAGTGCAAGTATTTCGTAACAATTTTCAAGGCCACATAGCTTGGTAAGAGGCATTACAGGGATTCTAACCCTGATTTTTCTCATTCTACACTAGCACGCTGACTCCCCCGCAGACAGTCAGTCACCTTCTAGGGCTCATGTAAACTTATTCGATGTGAAAACTCTGCTAGAATCTTGCAGTTGTAAAGGACAGGGACACTAAGTAGGCAGTTGTATAGATAAGTTTAGGGCTGAACAGAGAGAGAGAGGTGTGAAATAGGAGTTTGAATACAGGTTGCCAGTGCCTGGCACATAGAGATTGCTCATAAATATGTAGTGAAAGGATGAATGAAATGTCAGTTTTGGAACGATCAGCCTCTGGCAGTGATCATACATCTTTACAACTTTTACCTAATTGTATATGAGATAGAGGCTTGTTTCATACTTCCAGTTTTAGAACCTGCTTTGTAAAAATTATTTTTTAAAATGTTTATACTTTTGACAACGTGAAATATGGACTTTGGGTAATAAAGGGTGTATAGATATAGGTTTATTGATTGTGACAAATGTAGCACTCTGAGGTGGGATATTGACAGTAGGAGGGGAATTGTGTGGGTTTGTGGGAGCAAGGGGTACATGGGAACTCTCTGTACTTTCTGCTCAATTTTTCCTTGAACCTAAAACTGCTCTACAAAATAAAGCCTATTTAAACAAACAAAAATCTTTATTGCTTTGGTTTTCTTTCCTTGCTAAAAAAATATTATATGCTTGGGGAAAATTTAGAAAGTAGAGGTCTTCACCAGCTGGTGAGGAGAACTGGAATTGCAACTTGAACCTCACAGTTGAGGACAACAGATTAGGTGGGGATGAGGGAGCACCAGGGGTTCCCTTAAACCCACTTGATGGACTTTTCTGGATGTGAAATGTGGCACAAGACCCTGTGCTTCCACTGCTATTACCTGTGCAGTCTCTGATCCTGTCTGATAAGTAAAATTTGGGATGATGCTATACGTAGTTTCTAATTTGCTTCCTCCTCAGCCCCTTCACTATTAATTATGGACATATTTTCAGAAAAGTAAATCTCTCTCTACAACAAAAAATTTGCAAATAAATTTAAGACCAAATTCAAACCTCCTGTTTTAAAATGTTATTTTTATTATAATTACGTAAGTAGTAAATCTTGGATGTAAGATAAATTCGAACAACACGGAAGTGTACATAACATCTATATTTCGCCGCAACCCTGGAAATATCCATTGCTGTAATTTGGTGTATGTATAATTTATATATATTGTATGTTATATGAAGAGCTGTATAGAAAGACCTTTTCGTAGGAGAACATCCTCCACACCCAGCCACCTGAAAATACTGAATTCAGTGTTTGTTCACTGTCCTGGCAATGCAGAAGAGTCAGAAAAACTAAAGGCTGAGCATTTCTTATCTTCATCAACTTTTAGACCTTGAACTCTCTATTTTCTTTACAAGGCCTTTCCTTTTCAAAATTAATACGAACTGGCTTATGTTTCTCCTTCCAATGAATAGCTAAACAAATATACCAAAAATCCTTCCCTACAAATCAATATTCCTAAGCCACATCCTCCCCTCTCTCCTCATTTTCATAAACAACAAACTTCTCAAAGCAGGGGGAACTATATTCACTGTCTCCACTTTCTAACCTCCCTGTCATTCCTCAACCCACCCCTGTCTATTGCCTCTCCATTCAGCTGAATCTGCTCTCAACAAGGTCACCAATGGCATCATTGTTGTAAAACCCAAAGGAGTTCCTTTCAGCCCTTATCTATATAAATGAGCCCATGTTTCTGATGAAAACAAGACATGCTCCTTGATTTTGGTTGTTGTTAAAAACAAATCACAGACTTACAGAAAATTTGCTGGTATAAAACAAAGAATCCCCTGCCCCACCCCCTTCCCTGGACCATATGAGAGCAAGTTGCCAACACGATGCCCCATAGCTCCCAAATACTTTAGAGTGTATGTCTTACAGACAAGACCATTCTCCTATATAACCAGAAGACAACCATCAAAATCGTGAAATTATCATTAATAAAATGTATCACAAGCTAATCCTCAGACCCTGTTCAAGTTTTGCCAGTTGTCTTAACGATGTCTTTCATAGCAAAAGGATCCAGGACAGAATCTTGTACTGTGGTGTCTCTTTAGTTTTCCACAGTCTAGCAAAGTTCCTCCGTTTTGTCTTGACTTTCATGACCTCGACATTTTTGAAGACTGTGGGCCGGTTATTTCATACCCTTTTCTCCCTCCCTTCCCCTTCCATTGCCTGCTGCCTTGAGACTTTCAGAGCTACAGTTCTAGATCTGACCACCAGGGGGTATCTATCAACACTGACTACATTTTACAAAGGAAAAGCCATGATTTTCTTTTTTTTCCTACCTTTATTACAGTGACTCACCAAACTGTTTGCTAATTCCTTTCTACTTTCCAGGTCTGTTTTGTGTATGACCTCTCTGGCATGTGACTGATTTGAACCAACACTTCACCTAAGAAATTATATAAATGGCAAATCGGTACATGAAAAGGTGATCAACATTATTCATCAATATGGAAATGTAAATTAAAATTACAGTGAGATATCACTACACCCCTATGAGAATGGCCAAAATTAAAAATGCTGACCATACTAAGCACTGACGATATTGTGGAGGATCAAACCCTCATACACTGCTGATGGGAATGAAAAATGGTATAACCACTTCAGAACCAGCTTGGTAATTTCTTACAACATTAATCTTACATCTACCATATGCTCCAGCCATTGAACCCCTAAGTATTTACCCTACAGAAAGAAAGCATGTGTCCCTGTAAAGACTTAAACCCAAATGTTCATACCAGTTTTATTTAAAAGAGCTTCATGTTGGAAACAACCTCATATCCCTCACCAGGTTAATGGATAAAACAAACTGTGATATATCTGTATAATAGAATACTACTCAGCAATAAAAAGAAACTATCTATACAGGCAACAAATGGGTAAATCTAGAAATAGGCTGAATGAAAGAAGCTAGGAAAAAAGTACATTCTATACAATTCTATTTACATAAAATCACAATGAAATTAATTAATAGTGACAGAAGTTTAGTGGTTGCCTGGGAACAGGAAAGGTCCAGGGGAGGAAGTTGGAGGCCAGAGGCAGGTGGGTGGGAGATTACAAAGGGGCACGAGGAAGTTCATTATCTCTGCTGTAGTGTTGGTTTCATGATGTAGACATATACAAAACCGTATTAAAGCATACAGTTCAAATGTGTGCCATGTATTGTATGTCAATCATAGGTCAATAAAGCATTTAAAATATATTTTTCTAAGTCTTTGATGCAATTAAAATAACCAGGAGAACAATACCCATCAATATGCTCTTATCATATTAATAGGTCCACACCATGTCTCACCAAATTCATCTACACCACATATTACCAAAATAGAAATCATCTTTTGCAATGAGGTATGTTGAAATATTTAGTGAAAGTTGATGCACATGTCCTTCTGAAGTACAGACTAAAACTATTATTTCCTGGAAAATAATCATAAAGATATTTTAGAATATCCGGTTATTTTAGGGGATATGGCTGAATATTATTATAATAGGGAAGCTCTAGAGTAATTATTATTTTTCAAAATACTAAATCCTCATAACTGACATTTTATACTAACACTTGGAAACTTTTTGGCATTTAAACATTTTGTTACGCAATGGATAAAAATGTGGTGATCAGGGAAGAATCCATGGTACAATCACAGATTGCTAGGAAAAACAACGTAGCATATTTCTTTTGTTTTTTTAGAAACTGTTTATTTTCCATCAACCTATTTCCATTTTGAGTTTGTGGAAGAACAGTTTCAGACCACTCAGTGGTTGTTCCTACCCACTCAATGGCCTGAGCAGTGGGAGCTGCAGACCAGTCTTCAGTGGCAGGCTGAGCACTCCAGTCTTCAGTGGAGAACTGCTGAATAGGCACAGAAGGCACCTGCACACCTTCAGACCAGTCCGCCACCTCAGGCTGAGTAGCAGTGAACTCAGGAGCTGGAGCAGTCCATTCACCTTGAAATTCCTCCTTGGCCACAGCCTTCTCAGCTGCCGCCTGCTCTTCCTTTTCAATCTCTTCAGGATCTCTGTAGAAGTAGAGATCAGGCATGACCTCCCATGGGTGTTCACGGGAGATGGTGCCACGCATGCGCAGAACTTCCCAGGCAAGCATCCACCACATCAGACCCACTGAGTGAGCTCCCTTGTTGTTGCATGGGATGGCAATGTCCACATATCGCAGAGGAGAGTCTGCGTTACACAGAGCAATGGTAGTCAGGTTAGCATAAGAGGCCCCAGTGAGAGGCTGGTGGTCAGCCCTGGGATCAGTAATCACTAGAAGTCTTGGCTCCCGGAACGCTGCCTGGATCTGGTTAGTGAAGGTTCCAGGAGTGAAGCAGCCAGTAATAGGAGTGGCTCCAGTGGCAGCAGCAAACTTCAGCCCAGCTCGCTGGCCAGTATTCCTGGAGGATATGACACTGACATCAGCTGGGTTTTCAATGGCAACAATGGCACGAGCCTCCAACAGAAGCTTCTCCCAGGTTCCCTTCAGATTTATGATGTAGATGCCATCACTTTTCCTTTTGTAGATGTACTGTTCCATTTGGAAGTCAAGGTTGGTGCCACCTAAGTGGGTTTCTGCTGCAAGGAATTTGAGGACATCCTTCTCCTTCATTTGCAGGACATCAAGACTCCGGACATTGTGAAAGTTTCCCTTTAAGTTCCGATGGGAATACAGAACAACGCCGTATGGACCCCTGTCTGGCTGGCACGGAAAAGGCAATTGCATATTTCAATACCCATCTGACAGACATACGTGAGAATCACTGACTATTATTTACACAGTTAGAAAATATATATGTAAACTTATTGCAAATGCATATTAAACATCAAGCAGCTCCCTCAAGCTATAGAATTCATTGCTTTTGCACAAATAAGGCATTTCTAAGATGGGCCTCAGGACTACTACAAAGCAAGTAGCTGCTGATGGAATGACATTCCACCTGCTAAACCTCTTTCCCATGAGATCAAAGTAGCTTCTCTACTTTTAGGCTAGAATCTCACAGGAGCTATTTTATAACATGCTTTTGTCCAGATCTATGAACTCACTAGAGCCAGGCGTCATATTCCACCAGGAAGTGAAGTGTTGTGGTTTCCTGAAGACTGCTGCCCTTGAATCGGGAGTAGAAGCTCCAGCAGCCATCAGGACACATGCTCAGAACCTGCCCCCTTCAGACACCTGATATGACCAAGGCCACCGGCATGAGAAGCTGCACAGGGAGAGACAGATCCAGCAATTACCATGCTTTACTGGTAACTGTGTGCCCTGCACCGTGCTAGGCACTGGGTTAGTGACATAGACAGTGAAACAACTGAGCAGTGATCCTAACTACCAGATGTTACAATGGGTTTCTCACCAGGGCCTTTTTCTTTTTCTTTCCTCATCTCTCCCCCAACAACGAAGTTGATAATAAATAAGAAGTGACCAAACATTCATGATCCCACAATAACCACAGGACTATAGGCTTACTCATGTGTTATCACTGAATGTTCACAGCGATCCTGTGGGGAAAGCATTCTTATCCCCATTTTACAGAGGGGAAAGCTGAGGCTTAGAGTCGTTACCTGTGTCACCTCCCGCGCCCCTGCCTTTAGAAGGAAAGTGGCTCCAGGACACCCCTGGAGCAGGACACCGCACCCACTGGGGCTGGGCGGGACCCCAATGGCTTTACCTACGAGACAGCGGAGGCACCTAGCCCCAAAGCGGGAAAGAGGCGACTTGGAAGCGGATCCCTTTGTCTCCCCACACCCTAGGGCGGTCCAGCCACCATCGCCGGGACGCACACCTTCAGCTGAGTCCCAAACACCTGAAGGCGGGACCTGTGCTACTCATCAGGTCACGTCAGTCTCTGCAGAAAAGTCGTCACGGTCGCCTTATTGACGTCAGGTTTCCATGGCAACCGCGAGGCGCAGGCTAATCCCCCACACCGGAAATGCCTCTTGCACACTCCTCCACTCCCTGGATTTCGGTGAAAGCTGAGGACCTTAGCTCTGGCTACCACCAGAGAAAGCATACTAATTAGAGGCACTAGACTGGGATCCGGAAAATTGGCGAACTCTGCCCAGGCTGATGGAAAAAAACGTCCCTGTTGTCAGGAATATGTTTGCTTTAAAGAGACAAGAGCGGAGTTACTCTCAGTATACAGAGACCCAGGGAAATATCCTAGGATTCTTGGAGATGAGCTAGCCCTCAGAGGGCTAACAGAAGTTCGTCATCTATGGTAGAACATTAAGAGAATGTCTATAATCGTGTGATTGAATGATCTAGGAAGTTGGAAAAAAGTCACTTATTTATTTATATATTTATTAAGTCATTTAAAGAAACATTCAGAGGTGCTTCAGGGAGGCAGGCCTAGAAAAATATAATCATTTAATAGGCAGAAAGAAACCTAGTCAATTCCCCATACAATTGGTTTCTGTTGGGGAAATTCTTATTCTCCATTCCTGATGTTTTCTTCCATGAGGAGGGACATCCATGACCAAAATACTTCTAGCCTCTCTGTAATTCACTTCTCTACTGTGGGAATCACTTACCTGATGAGTGACTTTGGAAGGAGGGACACACAGCCCATACCCTTTCCCTTCAAAATTCTTGAAGCAAGCTGCCTTTATAGAGCACATGTTTACTCTGTTCTCAGGGGTGAGTCTAACAATAGATCCACAGCTCTTCTCCCCTTTTCTGAGTCTTGCTGGCTCCCCAACTTTTCCTATGATCCGTTACAAAATGCTTGTGTCTTTAAGGGGTCCCCCAAACATACCTTTTATCCACATCTGGGCTCTAACTCAAGAACTATGACAAAAGAATAAAAAGAACAAAACATCAATTCTATTACTTATAAAGGTGATATTGGAGAAAATGACTTAGATTTGCAGGCAATTGGGCTTCTTTTTTAATAAACCCCAGAATCATACTGACTTGACCAACTAAAAGTGCTTCATGAGACAGTCATAAAGGCCAAAGACTACAATGCAGAGCTATTTGCTGCTGGTGAAGAAGCTCTGTCTATATGTGCTCAAGGAAAGTAACTTCCTTGCCAAAGGTTATCCCTGTAGCAGGAGAGTGTTTCAGGAAACAATCTGAGAATCACTTTTCAAAGTGAGTAAACGCCCCTTGTTCTATTACTCACCAAGCAACGTTCTGAGGGTATGGTGTTCCATGTGGTTTATGGAGCCAATTGTAGCAACAACCTCTCTGTTCCTTAACACAGGAGATTGCATTGGAGACTCCTCCTGTGGAGGGGGATTGGAATTAGGTTCTAAATTCCAAAAGTAGGGTGAAAATCACATGTCATGAAAATTTCCTATGGAAATCCCTTCAAGAAGGAATAGAAATATTCAGAAATCGATACCCACATATAAAGCTATATGCAATCTATAGCCGAAACTATAATGAAGTCCTACCAAGGCTTCAGGAATCAGTGAATCCCTATCCTTTCCAATGATTACAGACCACAGAAAAAAAGTACACCCCAAATACATGTTTTGGATATCCATTTCTACTTAATAAAGTCCCACAAATAATAGTCATTTATTATCTCTCAGGATTCAGTATGTTGACTCAGCTCAGTTGAGTGTTTTTCTGCTCCACATGGTTTCTGTCACTTTAGGTCACAGTCATCTGGAGGCTTAATTCAGCTAGGACATCCAAGAAGGTGTACTCACATGGATGATTGGTGCTGATTGGTGGGCTCAACTGGGGCTGTTAAACTTAGATTCACAGTCTCCTACTCCAGGGTGTCCAGATTTAGCAAATAAAAATAAAAGACACCAAGTTAAATTTCAATTTCAGATAAACAAAATCACATTTCATTTGACATACTTATGCTAAAAATTATCCCTTAGTTCTCTGGAATTCAAATTTAATTGCGTGTCCTGATTTTATCAGGCAACCCGACACAAAGAATGCTTTGTGGAGGAGAACCAAGGTGCTGGTGGTGAGGTATGGCTGTCTTGTCCTCACGATGTATGTGACAAAAAAGCATGGGCTTCTCACCAGAAACAGGTGGCAAAGAGGTTTCTCCCCAAGCCCACTGCCATAACTATGGATATAACCGGCAGCCTGGGCACCTTTAGTTGCTGGTGACTGATCTGTACAAAATGTATCAGGATACATACTGCTGAGGTGATCACCTCTGTTCTCCCTGTGTTTACCTTCCCTTCAGCAGGGAGCCAGGCTTGATGCCCCTTCCCCTTGCCTCCAGGGAAGTTTGTGACAGGGTTTGGAGCAGAGGCTGTCTGACACCTGTGTTTCTTCCATCTTTTGTAAAACCTTAAACTTACAGTAAGGATTGGGCTGTTTCTACCTGCTACAGAGTGGAGGGCTTCTGAGAGCCTGGAGAGGGAGAAGAAGGGAGATTTCTCCCACACTGGGATGAGGTCAGAGATCTACATGACCCTCCAGGAGCAGGGACCTAGCACTGCTCCATATCAGTGCTTGTGGTGGTTCTGTGGATGGTTCATCAAGGCTGGGCAACCAGCAGTAAGAGAGATTTTCTCCTTTGAATCAAGCAGTCAGGGGGCCCGAAGACATTGAGTCACCTGTGTTGATGGTTCAACCCTGAACAGTGTGGACAGATGGGTCATGATGGCAGGGGTCTCACCCGGCTGCCTCAGGAAGACAAGATCCCACAAGTGGGACTTCTTTGTCAAAGAGTATGGACATTGAATATTTTTAATATTTACTGTTTAGTTGACCTTTGTAATCTTATTAGTATTTAGCACAAACAACCACAAGACGAGAGCACCTGTTTTTGCAGATCTGAGTCCATGATGGGTTTTACGTTTTTATTATTTGCTAATCTGATATCCTGGTGCTAGAACGTTAGATTATTTTAATCTTTCTTTGTTATAGTTCCCTATAAATGGCATATCTCACATTTGTGCCTCAGAATATATCCTGAAATAATTCCAGAATTTGAAAAGAAAATCTGATCAGTGATTTTATGTTTATGCTGCATCCTCTTTAAGTGGAAAATGTGGGGATACAATAACTCCATTCACTGCTGGTGGAGGACAGATTGGTACAACCTCTTTGCAGAGACATTGGCAATATCTATGAGAGAAGAAATAGTGAGGTCCCCATCAGCTGCTGCACTCTTGGACACTGGCTACAGAACTTCTTGGGCACCTGTGCCCCAGGAAATACGTGAAAGAATGGTCAGGGCAGCATGGAGTCATATGAAAGCAGCCCCACAGTCACCTTACTAGAGAAATCTCAAAAAAACCACTATTTTCAGATTTTAAAAAGGTTGCTAAAGGGAACTAGCTCTATGATAGTATTTATATGTTTATAGCTGAAACATGCACACAATTATATACCTTACATTATTCTCACAACAACTCTGGGAGGATGGCATCATTATTCCCATTGACAGATGACAGATTCATTCACTAATGGAAGATCAATCTTCTAGAGGCATCTTTTAAGGAACAGGAATGGGATCTACCTCCTACCCTCCCCAAAGGGCATCCAACAGTCTCCTTGACAGATGATGACCTTCTAGAACTTAAAACTTGTAGTTTTACATGTTTCTAAACTGTGCCCACTGAGGTAATATTCGCTCCCCATCCCCTCTCTTTGAAGAAGCTGATGGTGCAGATGAAATCCTAGTGCATGGTCCTGTAGAGGGTAATGGGTCTGGTGTCAAAGTCAAGGGTTTGTGATTCCTGCCTCCCCTTTATCTGCACTCTCTTCATCTGGGGGCTCAATGGGAAACTGCTTTTCCAATA